TTTTTTTTCGAAAGGTTTTCCAAACATTTTATCCCTAGGAATTAGTGCCTATCTCTTGTAAAGTCTATCTCGTTGAACATTTTATAAGGAAGACTAGAGGCCTCACAAAGCCAGGTGATAATTTTTAGGTACACTCCATAAAGCGGCGCAGGGAATGGCGCGTACTGATGCGCGCCATTCCCTGCGCCGCTTTATGGAGTGTACCTAAAAATTATTATAATAGATTATAATGCGTACTTTTTTGAACAAGGAAAGGGCTGCGTCTCGGATGTGCCGTTGTTTTGGGACAATTGTGGTCGTTGCTTTGTTCAGTAGAGGAAAGGATGACATGATTGTTCCAAATGGGAATATTCCACGAAGAGCGTATTCCTTGTATTGCTCAATATGCAGCCGCGCCCTCCCCACCTCCGGGGTATGGAGTGCACATTTTCTGATGTCTGTCTGATGGCGAAAAGGGACGTTTTCGGGTACGTAGCTGCGAGCGCGGGGACGATTGTGGGATGTGCTTTTGGAAGATAGGAAATGACTTATGTAGGGAAGCGGCCCGTAAACACGCACGTGTCACCGGGTTAGCGGCTACGCCCTTGGAAGCGCCTATTTTTTTCCAATATGGATTGTATCGTGAGGACCAAGCCACGTTCATATCTTGGACCACTAAAGAACAGGGCACATCACTGGTTGGGGATTTTGGTCGAGTCCGTACGACCTCCCCCCTTTTTTTGCGGGTTAGCACGCCCCCCTCTGCACCTCGAGCCTTCAAGCGGGGGGAGGGGGGGAGCGGTAAATGGCCCCAATGTGCAAACAGGAAAGCGCGAGACCCCTTTCCCCCTCCTTCCTACCAATTCTCCAGATTTTCCCCAACTTTCTGCCACTTTTGCAAAATTTCTCACAAACTTTTCACTTTTTCCTAAAAGTTCTGCTGTCGAGCGAAAGAGGGGGGTAAATAGCACGAAACAGGAAAATCACGAAATGTCAGCTACCACTCCCACCACTCCTAGAAGGCTAAAAAGTAAATACGACCCCCTTTACAACGTCCGTGAAGCGAGAAAAATCAACTATCAAAATAAATTTTTCTCAGCCCAAATACCCCCTCTCCTGGCGGCCAAATACAACCCCGAATCACTTGAGGCATCTGTCGGTCTGGATGTTGTGTAGTCGCGGACGCTGTTTTCAAAGTATCTTGATTTGAAATAGTCTCAAAAATCACCTTCGCATTGGAATTTCTCGGTCGTGGCAACTGTTGACCAGAGAGAACTCGTAGATGTAGAATCTGAAACTTTGGCTTAACATACGGAAGAAACTCAATAATATTCACGAAAGTTTCACTTGGTCCTTGAGGACGTGACCCTTATTAGGCTCCATTATTCTTTTATAGAAAAGTCTTATAGGAAGTTATTGTAGTACTGTGCTCCCCAGGGAACGAAATTACAAGTTCAGGAGAACAGACAGACTACAGTACTCCGATTTGCGCGCAAAACTGAATGCGTATTAGCAGCTAATGCACACAGCACCACCCAGTCTTCGCCTATACAGACCGCTGGCCAGAAGGAAAGCGGAAGTAGCGTCGCTCTTGCTTCCTTTCCTGGTAACCAAACCGGCTCACGGTATGCCTACTTGTTTATGCGTCTTACGGAGCCGGCACATCTGACTTCACGTGCCATTTTTGGGGGTGCTGTATATACTCCGTTTTCCTGAACTTATAATCTTGTGTCTGGAGGCTAATTTGGATCTCACTGTCTTGAGAAAAATGAAGTGGCACCAAAAGTCATTGCGAAAGACTAATTGAATTAGTCATTTGCTATGAATTTTGGTGCCTTCAAAGTTTTTTACAACATTGAAAAGCGGGCGTCTTACGAGGGTCATTTGCTTAGTAATTCAATTGCTCATGGTCAGAGTTGCCTCATTTGAGTTACAGCAAAAAAATCATTTTTGAAAGAACTACGTATTTTTTTGATAATTTGAAGCGGACATCTGATGGCTCTTTGACTGACCTGAGGCGTTGTTGGGGGTTTCTCACCGGCTACGAAGAGATCCTCGTTCATGATGCTAGGTTTGAGCACATAACCGCAACCACCGTTCTCTGAGAACCGTCCTTCCTAAATATTTGCAGACATTTCTATACTGAATTCAAATTTATAAAATGGATTCATAGTCCAGCCTGGTCGTATGGGCGGAGTTGGACTTTACTCTGTGCCTCATTCGTTAGTGCACAGTAGTTGCGCACCCCGCCCTATGATCATTAAGTTTGTATCTCAAATCAATTTCCCTCACTTGTTCGAATGATATTTGGAAAATGTCCTTTTCTCTTTGAGGATAAAATATATACATGAAAAATATGCAAAGAAAATCCCAAAATGCCAAAATCCAAGGCCCTCCAGTTTTAAACGTCAGCGCCCCGCAGTTCCTGTCTATAGAAAAGCGTCCATTGAATCGATTACCTTGTAAATCAAGTCATGAGACCCGGGTGTTTGAGTAGTTGGATGGGGACAAATTGTATGCCGTGACTTCTAGCACTCTTGGCGGATCAGACTTAGATGAATCTGACCGAGACGGGTTTGGGTTCCACGCTGAAAAGGCATCAGTGGCATACAGTGTCATCTCTGGGACTTGGATTAATGGCACGTTCCGAGCGAATAGTAACTAAGGATTAGAAGCTTATAACGGTGCAAATGATCAAGACAGGCAAAAGTGGAAGATATGCTGCTTTTGAAAATCCGAAAAACACGCAAGCAGAACGCAGGGGCGCTTATGTTTTAGGGCCCATTGGACGCCGCGATAGCCCACTGCCGCCTCCGATGACCGTGTAGTTGTGACAGTTGCCATTGCGCTCTCGCTCGCCCGTTTGTTTTCTGGCCTCTTCGTCCTCCTCTCGTCACGTTAAATGCGCCAGCCTTTCGCCAATTCACAATTGATCTTGACCACCTTACGCTCGTCCGGTGATCATGATCAATTGCAACAAAGAGGGTCTTATTCGGGGCGCTTTTTCGTGCTTCCTTCTCCTTCAATAAGTCAACAGTCACAGCAATTTATTCTTTTAACTGTAGTTACCTAGAAGTGTTGGTCGCGGGAAATGCCTTTAAGGCAGCAAGGGGTCGCTACGCTGGCTCGGCGCGGTTTCCAGCTAATTGCCGAACTGCTCCCTAATTTTCACAGTTATTTTCTACTTTTGTTTGGAGTTAATTGTTAGAATTGTCTTATGAAAGTAGACATTTAGGGACGTGCATTGCTTTTTGTTTCTGTAATGGAGTTGCTTTTGCAAATTTTTTTTCACTGTCTGCTTAGCGTCGATGCTACGCAAAATAGGGGGAATTTCAATCATAATTCACCTTGTGAAGACAAGGAACAACTAACCGTGATAAAAGCAATCAAAACAGCGTAAATTAGGGAGAAAATGGCTAAATTAGGCTGGAAACAGCTGATCGCCGCGCTCTTGACACGCCGCAGTGGCGTCGCGACCCTTGCCGCCCTAATCAAGTCCCGGATGACGACTGTACTTTTAGGTGAAATAGGTGAATCCTGGAACTAGTAATATGTAGTAGTGGTAGTATTAGTGGGAGACGGCAAAAGAATCGTAATTTGCCGCTCCGCCGCACGCGGCGGTGAGCGGACGGCTTTTCTCTCACTCATGTTAACTCTGTCCGATTGGAGGACCGGACTTCAATGTAAGTCCGCCATATCGTAGACAGAATCATGACTATTTTTCGGTTTTGAATTAAAAAAAACGTACCTGAAACCATGTCATTTGCGGTGCGCCAGACCGCGTCCACCGGCGGCGGGAATTACGATTCTCTGTCCACATACTCGTATTAGTAGTGACTAGATGCAAAAAATTATGAAGTTATTATTGAGCCGCAGACCAGGTAATTGGCATAAGAGGAGACGGCGACAGCTCGTACACCAGACGTAGATCCTTCTCTCCTAATCAAGGCTTTAGCTTGGAGCGCAGACGACCAGAGGTTCGGACGAGTAGTCATGCAGAGAAGACATACTCTCCACTAAGCACGAACCTTGGTTGAGAGAAGGGAATTCCAAGTAAAAAGTGCGAAAAAATGTGTATTTTTAGCCAACACAGTGAAGACTGAGGTTCACTAGACAAGGTGTCTGTGACCGAGTACTTTGAGGCGCTGTCGAAGCTTGAGATGTTCGGTAAGGGAATGCGAAGGGAAAGGGGGGGGAGGGGAGGGACTGAAGCCCCAGCCATTACCCATACCGGTAACCAGTACACCCAATTTCCATTGCGCTTCAAATGTAATCTCTCCTTGTAGAATCGTTTCTAAGAACTGCAGCTGACTCACCATACGACGTAATTCCTTGACATCTGCCCGAATTCCGGCGCATAGGTGTGGGTGAGTCGGAGGGCGGTGTTCTCACTCAATATCGCCACATGCTGTCGAGGATTCACTAGAACACTTTGATTAATGAATCTTATGGTTAGCTCAAGATAGACTGCTAATGGAAACTACTTTTTTGAACCCCCTCCCTCTGAAAAATTATCAAATAAATCTTGCTCCGAACTTTTTTTCTTATTTTCCATTTCACTATTCTTACCACCAGAAAAAATGTCATAAATTGAAGTCAGAATAAGTAATGACCAAAGATATGTAGGGGTGATTTCAATAACGTAACTTTGTTAACGAATTGGGAGCCGTAGCCATGAGGTCATGTAGGGATTTTGTATGTAAAAATGGTGGCACCAAATCAGATAGCTCTCGACATAATCGTATCCTGGAAGTTATACGGTTTGGTACTGTATTTGATTTTTCGAAAAATTATTTATCAAAGTATCAGAGGAAGTTCTTCATTACCGTTGTGATTTCCGACGTGAGCAGCTAGCAATTCCATGGTCGTCTTCAGAGACATCACCACTTTCTCCTGAGCAGCATAGACGTTTGCCCTGAAAAGAATACACGAAATCAGAGTACATTATCGCTGGAAGAATCCTTTTTGGCGGGACGGGGGGGCAAGGTATCTGGTCTGGAAAGGAAAATTTTCGTCTACCTTGATTTTTCCGTTCATGGCGCGTTATATCATCGCTCTCCCCCGTGCTAATTCTGACTCTCAGTGTTTATTTGTTTTCGGAAGACCTCCTTACCCCTCTCGACATTTCTTTGGGCAGAATCAAGAAAACATGATTTTTTGGCATATTACAGCAGAGATGGCTGTGTACGTGATTTTTCAGCAAAGGAACTTGGTTACTGTAAAAGTAAACCTTACCATAATAAGAATACGACATTGAAAATCCCATGGTGTGGGAATCGCTTTCTCGTTTATTCCAATCGGTGGGATCAGCAGTAGAGCTAGACTACAGCTGTAAAGAGATATTTTGAGGTTTTCTCCCTGAAAACTTCGTTACTTGCGCGCAGTTCGCAGCATTGAGTTGGGGCAGCAACATGTTATTCAGTTAATCAAACTATTGGGCCACGCTTGCTAAGACGCATGTACATTCCATAAAAGTGGACAAGTGGCCCATTGGCACCATTCGCACCATTCACCAGGAGTTAACGGAGTTCACAAAATTAGAATAACATGACCTCAGCAAAAAGAAAACAACGAGGAAAGGCGCGTAGTGCCCACCCACCCCCCCTCCAAGCGAACAGGCGCCACTCATCTTTATAACAATAATGGTTAACACGAGCACTCCCCCATTTTTTGTAGGTTTGTTGAAGGAACCTAGTATTCTGCACTTGATTATCGTTTGACTCCGCTGATAAACAAGCAAATGATTAAAAATTGATATTATTTGCGATAGAGTTCAATCAAGCACTGCACGAATAACAATCTCTCATCAGTGTTTACGCAAATTATTAAACCCTAGGTGAATAGCTTGTCGGACGGTCCTCGAGACCTTCGCGTGCAGAATTCAATTTGCGAAAAATATTCATAGGTCATCTGTACGGAAAGAGGCCGTATCGATTACCGTTTGTTCCCAAGATGGTCGACCAATCATTTTGCGAGCGTAACGACTTTTTGCCATCCTTCCAAGAACAATGTAGCAGAGCCGAAATAGAAGATAGGATATACTGAAACATTATTTGTTGAATATAGATCGGGCATCGATATTTTGTTTATGATTAATAACTTATAATGAGTTAACTGTAAGAAGGGGAGAGAGTTTGGAGTAAATAACTTCTTAGCTTTCGCACAGATCTAAAACGGAAACTCGAGACGAGATGTTGTACGCCTCTCCCTATCTGTCAAGTCTGCTCCATCATTCCGAGCCTGAAGCATATTCCCATGATGTTCACGGTGGCGGGGACAAAGCAGGTCCATTAAACTCTTTATCCCGTGCGTTCGCTTTTTGAAAAAGGGGGAGTTTAGGAAGGTCCGTTATGATTAGTATTTTCGCGCAGTCAGTGTGAATTGTTTTATAATGACAGCTGTCTGCTTAACTCCGTCAGTTCGCACTTCTGGCCTTACATGTAACCGGCAGAAAACAATACAGGGCCGCAAAACCAAGCTACTGTCATTGTTGTTCCGCTGCTTATTGTTAAGTATGAAATTATAAGACGTCTAGCCTACATCGCTTTTGAAATAACATCTGTGAAGCGAAATCAGGGGCAGGTTCTTTGATCGGGATAATTTTTTGCATGATCCCCCCGCATCCTGAATTTTCTTTATTATCTAGGAGTACCCCCCCCTCCACGTTTCCCGTCCGCAATCCCTAACTGGTACATTCTTTAATCCCTGAGCAGGATGAGCATGGCAATTATGATACGCACATGGACGGAATCTGGTTACTCGCTGTAACATTCCAGTCTATGAAAATGTCATCTTTGTTCGTGTGTTTGGACAGCGACGGGTAACCGAACAATTTTGTCAGGATGAAAATATCTTAACAGAGGCGTAGACTCCTTCAGGTTAAGTTCAAGGATGCAGCCACACCTACCCGATCTCAGGGATTGAGTATACCATACCATGTTCTAAGATTCTCCCAATTCCTATAAATTTTGCGCTGTTTTTTTCTCCATGCCCCGGTGTCATTGACGATAGGGGGAGGGAGTGTACGCACGTTGAGGCTGGGAAAACAAAAATACGGATGACTCGAACAACTGAAAACATGTTTTTCCCGAACCAAGGTCGAACCCGGCATATGCTTATAAAAGCTGTGAGGTAGTGGAACGTTTCTCGTTTCTGGTGCGAATGCCGCCCACGCCACTTCATTACAATGTCTTTCTGCAACGTGGAAGTAATTCCCACACGTCCGAGCTATGATAGGTTTTTCAGTATCTGAAAGCAGCAATCGTATGGCCGGAGTGAAGACGCGAGTTATTCTCCAAGAACATGGAGGAGGTAAACGGACTGTCTGACTCCGCCCATACCATTAGTGCGGACTGCCGTTTCGTCCTTACCGTGTCCTTTCGAATGCCGTTTCACGTATCACCTTCAGAGCTTCGCTTAAAGGCACTTTACTATTAGCGACCATACCATTTTGAATCATCGGTTCCGTCTCTCCCTTGGCTTCACAAGGGTCGAAGATGTCTACTGAAACAGACCAATAATTAATCTAGGCAGATGTAGTGCAGTGGCAAGAGGCGCCAGTTTGCTCGCGTGTGTCGAATGGTGCGCAACAGTACCCTTACTTTTCCCTACGAGTTCAGTTTATTGAAGTATTGGTGCCAGAGAAGCGCCATATGGACAAGGAAGGGGCAGTTCGGCTGGATGGGGGCATTCTGCTGGTTCCCATCGATTATTGCAGATGCTTCCTCCGAAGACATGTAAACTTCTTTATAGCTGTGCAATAGCACAAACTTGCCTTACTCGTGACGGGGTCTCACTAAGATTAGTCCCGTAAGAAGAAGAACTGGTAGAAGTAACTTGCGAATAAGAATAATGCCCTCTCTAAGCCGAACAGTGCCTGGACAGGTCTCAATAGGAGTGTTGCGTTCTGAAGATACATGCCGTAGTAATCTCATGGGCGGAGTCGCTTGGACCACTCTGCTGTCTTTATTGGTGGGCTTCTTCAGAAATTTCAGAAGGGGGAAAGGCGCACCAATGAGGATGCGGTTAAGTAGCTCCTCCCACGATGAGTGCGTAATGGTTCTTTGAAAATCGGTCAGTCCTCCCTTTTGACCCACCAACCCACTCAATCGTGATCCAACATTATCAGTGAAGCAGTGCTTACTTAATTTCAATCCTGTCTTATGAGAATTTAGGCTGTGTATGGATTTGTTTAGTAAGAAGGTACGTATGTAGGTTCACATAGAAATGAGCTGTCCCGCACACCTGGCCGTTAGCCGACCAGGAGCAGCTCTGCAGGTGGCTAGTCTCCCCGGATGCGTAGCCGCCCGTAAGAAGCCGAACTATCGAACCACACACCATGCAAGGCAGCGCCTCTTGCCATAACACCATCTCTATATTATAAGAGAACAGCCAAAATAGTGCTAACTCTCGATCATTCGACAGTTCCTCTTCAGCGCACTGGACAAACCATCAACGCTAGCCGTTCCTTGTTGATCTTCGACAAGATAGGTTTTGTGAGAGGCGGCGATGAAATACTTTCGAGAATGGCTGAAAATATTTGATAAATTCCTCCTGTGATTTCATCAATCAATTTCATTATTTGGAATTTAACACTTTTTTTCTTGTATCCTTTGAGTTATCCCTACTTCGTAAATTTTGCTTGGCAACTTATGAATAAACGCGAACCTGTTTCATATCCATCCAGACTCTGGAGTGTGAAGGATCAAATATGGAACAGTCCTTGGATAGGAGAAAGGCAGTGAATCCTGAAATTTGATGTAAATTTGTGTTGAATTCTCTAAGTACGCTTTTTTCTAGACATGATGGAAGCTGCTAGATTCTGCTAAGACAACACTAAAGAATGAGCGCGCAACGTAATCTAGTCTTTTCGCTGCAGACGCTGGAGCGTGAACTCCTTCCATTGTGCATCTGCACCTCCGTACTGGGAGTAGAGGCGCGCAAATAAAATATTCAGACAGCTATAATAATAATAATAGGAGGCTTTTCATTTTAGATACCTTCACGGACCATTAATGGTGTCAACTAAACGAACATACCGTCTACAGTCATGAAGTTGTTTTCTTTGGCTTCGGGCGATGGCTCGTACTGCTCGACGACATTCTCACAGAATTCTGTCGTTACACCGGACATCTGGAATTGATGGATTCCAAGTGGGTGATAATCGTTTTTCCTCGAGGACACATTCCCGATAATCAGATGGGCGGCATCGTAGGCGGAGACTCACTACCATATTGCATCCCTCATTGGTGCTCCTCTCCTTGCGTATCGAAATACCCCAATGAGGAAGCAGGAGTTTGGTGAGTAACCGCCTATTTCCTCATGCCTTCGATTATCGAGCATTTGTACTCCATACATTTTACTTTTTTGCCTGCGATGTAATCTCAATGAGAATTGAAACTTTCCTAATCTCGCGAAAACTTACTCCTTGTTCGGTTTCGAGGAAAAGGCGCAGATCTTGACAACTCAAGTAATCTTTGTTAGCGTAGCGGACCATCAGGAAGTAGACTTCTGGTCTGGTGGCTATTTCCTTCAAAATTAAATTATTGCAGTAAATATTCTCACGTAATAATCATATTTGGGACGGGTCGAAACAATAACCCTCCTTTGATAAGAAGTACTGTACAACATTAAGGGAGTGCTTATTGATTGGCAGCATGTTGTCACGTGGGCGTAAAATCAATAGAATAAGTGACAAAGTTTAGTGCTCTACCAGCAATGAGAAGCAAAACCGGCGATCCACCAATTCATTTAAATTTTGCCTACCTTGGAAGGCTTTGGAATCTCAGTAGTGTAATGGATAAGCGCGGTGCTCAAAGACAGGAAATTCGGGATAGGAAGATTGAGTTCAACAAAAAATCCTCTCCCCCACAGCGCGAATACAACCCTACTCCTTCAACCTTTTTTGGGATAGCATACCTATTTCCTGGGAACGATTTCGATGTGAGCCTTGAATTGAACTCAACCAACCTTGTACAACTCGATGAATTCTTCTTTATGAATTCTACCTCTCTCTATTCCACCGAGCGCACTTCCAGCCTCCTGAAATAAATTCATGCGAGATCTCTTATAATGGAATCAAATGCATGTTCCACGGTGGGCGTATGGGTGGGGAACTGGGCGGAGACAGTCAACCACTGTCCCTTCCTCACGGATGTGCCAGACCTAATTGAAGTTCGTTAAGGTTGTACAAATAAAACACGACAAAGTAAGTGCAACTTCCCTAACAAAATACTGCCATTTTGTACTCGCCATTTAATTCACTGCCATGGTCGTAATTGTTTACTCAGTGCTGTATGAACTCCGCCCCTTTCTGTCTATTCCAAGATATTTCTCTGTTAAAAAGCATTCAGAGACCATACCTTGACTTTGTTCTTGATCTTGGATAGTGCCAGGGTGGGATTCGTCTGTTGGATTAGTTGAACGGCAGTGTTCTGATCGATGTAACCTTTCCCATCCGGGTCTTCCTCGTCGAATACGCTACCCAACCATCTGAAACCACCGACCGTTATTTTAACAGGAACATTGAACAATTAGAGTTTTTCTTTTTTCAATTACGGGTATACTAAACGAAATCCTAATTAATACGAAACGTATTTAGAAGAAATCAGGGTTTTTGAGTAAGAAATCATTCTTACCGTTCTCGCAATGTTGCCCATGCGATGGTGGTCGGCTTGCAGTCGTCTAGAATGACATGAATTACGATTTGTGTGGATAACTCCCATTTGAACTACTGATCAAAAAAAATACCGGCACTATTTACCCTTTACTGCCCCAATCTTCCAAAAACAGGCCAGTTTTTGACCGACTTTTTTCTGCGTTGGCAGAATTGGCTGAAAATTTGTTCCCTGGGTAGTTTGACCTCCTGAACATGAATATCACATCCGCTCGGCACGAAACCTCCTCGGCGCTGCGCCACCCCCCCACCCCGCCCCCCCCCCCCCCCCCCCACCCCCGCCACAGCGCCCGGCGCCGAATACCACTAAAATCAATTCTAATCACGCTGAGAACTTGTTCTCCAACACGGTAGTCTTGACTCCTGAATATCTGAATATCACATCCGTTCGAGCTTGAAAACGCTCCTGGGCGCGTCCCAGCGGCTATAAGCGCCGGCACCAATATCCCAAAATGCCAACCCGGCGCCTGGCGCAGGCGCTTCGAATTGCGGGCTAATATGAATGTGATAATCGTCTCAGGAGGTCAAATCGCTTTAGCAGACAACATTTGAGCCAAACATGACCATGAAGGAAAATGTCGGGCCGAAACTGGTCGTTCCCAACTGTTGGCGGCAGTAAAGGCGTAAATATGCCAAAATAACTAAGATTTGAACAGAAGTTCTCAAAAAAATATAAAGAATGTACAATTATATCGCACAAATGAATAATGAGTTAACTCAGCTGCGGGAAAGAATGGTCAGTACGGGGGGGGGAGTGGAATCAGGCATGAGAGTCCATTTGATTGAGAAGGAAAAATGTGTAAGAAGAAAATGTAACGAGTGACAGAATGAGTCCCTCAGGTCCTCCTTCACATTCTGTAATCATGTGTTTTTTTTTCCTGACGCGAAAAGATCAAGTCTTTTTAAGATGCTGCACGCATTCTGCTTTCTTTCAAAATTGCTCCATGCTTGCTAACGAACGCTATTGTCCTTCATAATATTTCCAGCCGTTAAGCAATGTTATAAACTCCCAGACAAATCGCTACTTTACACGTTTCGCCCGTGAGACAGGAAGACTTGAGGCTGGGGGAAAAAGCCATTTCAACATCTGACCCGCTTACGCAGCGACTGTAGGGGCCCACTGGCCGCACACCATAATGCTCCGCCCACAAAACGGCAACGGTAAACATTTAAAAAGGCTGAGATACAATGAGTTTATAAAAGATCGTAAAAAGCGCAAAAGTCTAATGAAAAAATATAGTCGTTTCAAAAACCAGAAAATGCCCACATTGTAGACGTGAGCCATCATAAGTCCGAGGTGACCCATATGTTGGCGTCATCAGCGCAACTGGCGACAAGGTCTAGGGTCTCATAGTCGTCGCCGTAGATCACGGAGAATAAGGCATTCTTCCTGTGAAAATTAACGATTTTAAAGAAGTGACAACAAAAATGTACCTTTCCAATAATGGCAGGTCCCAGAAAAAAAGCCATGAATACCTGAAGTTCGCCTAAGTTTGCTTCACTATGCCGCAATTGCTCAGTGTTCTTCCCGATCCGGATCTCACGAATGTTTTCGATGGCTACTGAAAAGAGATTGGCTTACATTCTGATTGCTCTACGGCACATTCCGTGATACTCGATCAGGCAGAAAAATGGGTGGAGCCTGATTTCCACTGCCCTTTTCTCATTGGTGCGTTCCAAACTTCCTTGGTTAGAAAAGGAGTTCGTATATTCCACTCAAAGTTATATTGCGCGGTGAAGCATAAATCCAGAACTAATACAAAAATAGAACATTGATTAACAAAACTCTGCACTTACTCCGAGCTTTATGAGGTTTTTTGTTGGTGGGAGTCCATCGAATATGTGAAAGGTCGGCGTCAAGGCTGCAATCGAAATTTCGATAGTCAATATTATCAGGAACAGAAGCTCTTGCCACCAAAGTTAGGAACTTCACTTTGCGGTCAAGTACACTCTATATCCCGGAAATGGGGAGGGCGTGGCCTGGCTGCGCAACGAATTTAAACCCGATATAGAATGCGTTTTTCATGGGACATTTTAATTTGAGACAGATGTCACCCTGCCTTGCGCTGGTTTAAAGTTTGATCAGATTCAGCCCGAAGCAGCAATATTCCACTCAGGAGCGCTGCCGTCGCCACATTTAGATGAAACACTCAGTCACGCCCACCTATCTCTCAGATATGGAGTTTTATTTGAAAACTGCACCTGAAAAACCGTCGAAAATGCCTGGTCGGTCCTCGTAGTTTTACAAATTCGCTGCCCGTTTGCATATAGTGCCAACAGTCGCTGACTAAAAGGCTAGTATCGGCTTCATTGATAAATAAATTGATAGGAAACCATAAGGCTGCGTTTATACTTTGCGGCAGCGTAGCGTAGCGCTTCCAGCGTAAACGCTTGTGAAACGCTGGCGAAACGCTGGCGTAACGCTAGCGCGTAAGCGCCTGGTGACGCCTGGGAACGCCTAGATCGAATATCCATGCCTACTCCAGCTGCATCTGCTGCTGGCGTACGCTTGTAGCGCCTACGCTACGCTGCCGCAAAGTATAAACGCAGCCTGAAGAACATGTGCAGGTCGAAAGCGTTTTTTGCGATGATCAGATGGGCGGAAATTATAAGCTCTCTCTTCTTCCACACCAATGCACCCTTTTATGTGAATTGATGAAAAGGAAGAGTCAGTGAGGAAGGTGCAATTGAGGTAAAGCATCATGATGAGTGAGTACGACCTCTCCCCTCCCACCGAATTTCTCCGTATGACATTTCCCTCAGGGCGGCCGCGCGCCGACCCTACTTACCGCTCTTTTTCAGAGGAAAAACGCGGGAAAAGCCAAAAACAGCAGAAAAATTCATCTCATCTTGAAGTACTCGCACCAGGTACAGGTACGACTCCTTCGTCCAAGTGCGTCCCCTGCAACCGTACCACTTTCTGGTCCGGATTTCAAAAACGATATTGCACTCTGGGTGCAATGGTTTTAGTCCCCCATCCCCGGCTGTCGTGGAATAGTGACCCTTGGAACAGTAGAGGGGTAGTTGAACTTGATGAGGGCCAGAGAATGAGGGGTAAGGTCCCAAGCTTCAATTTGAAATGAACTGCACATGCAAGCACTTCTCGAACGCCTTTCCGAAGAAATCCATTCGCCACCGATCGATCTGTATCTTTTCTATAATACGGAATAATACCGTTCGAGATTTTCTTGTCGCTGTCTCTCGATGAGAACGAGACCGTTTTTCGTCCAGGCGATTTCTGGCGGTTCACATGCTTGATGAGCGATGAGCGAAGAGTTTTCCTAAAATTCAGTAGACTTTATTAATTTCAGCAACAAGACAGGAAATACGGATTTCTCATCACTGACTTATCGCATTGAGGAATTCATACTTTAGTCAGTAGTTAGTCTTATGTCAAAATGTTTGTTTTACTCACCAGGCCGTTTGTTCTCGAGCTTAGATTTCTCGAAGCTCAATATATTTATCTATTTTTCAAAGATCATCGAAGAAGGCAGTGAGCAAAATTTAGGCGCTCCTCGGGTTGGGGGGGCAGGGACATTCTGCCTCTCGCTTCTTTCCATGGTCGTTTTGAGGCATCAAGTAGGGATTTGTGAAATGCCGTGAAGCCCCAAAAGTGATACCAGTCAAAGTTTGTAGAAACTATTATACTTGTCAACTCTTATGAAGAATACTGTCAACCTTTATAAAGCAATGAACACGTCGATGTGCGGGGAAAGTAGCGAGTTCAAAATGCCCCCCCCCCCCCAAAGCCGAACTGCGCCCAGAACCCCTGTTTGGCTGGGGAAGTAAAAGCGGAAGTCGCTTAGCTTCTAGGTTTGTTTTCATTTAGCTTAATTGTTAGGCTGTCATACTCCATCGTAAACAAGAAGCTAGAAGACATCAGTAGTTTACTTCACGAATGGCTATTTACTGGCAGTAGAAAAACAATGAGGAAAGAAGGCCTTGTTAGCGAAGTCAATTCGGAATGGTTCAAAAATGACGGTTATCCCTCTGAGAACCACGTTCTTCAGATACTGCACGACTTCTTAGGCAAGCGATTGCGTTTGCAATCCGAATGAAGTGATTAAAACTCACTACCTTTGAGTAGGGAAGAAAGCAGTTCAGGTGCTGCGGAGCTTCATGTGTAAGCTGCGTTCATACTTTGCGGCAGCGTCCAAAAGCGTCCACCAGCGACCATCTGTTTCGAAAGACTATGAAAGTATGGATATCGATCTAGCGTCCACCAGCGTCCGTCAGCGATCATCAGCGCCTCGAGGGACTAGGAAAGTATGGATATCATCTAGCACTACCAGCGTCTACCAGCTCCCAGGAGTAGAGAGTATAGGGAAGCAAGAGGGTCGCAGAGTTGTGCTAGAGTATGGGGAGTAGGAGGGAGCAGA